AACAATTTGAAGTGGCTTGCACATGATCCTAGATATCAATCCATGTCATATTCTAGTTTTGTTATAAATGGTCTTCGATTTCACACTAAAGATGCAGAAACATCTCGCCAAAATAGTGGTGTTTTAGTTGAAGCAATGACCATATGTAGATCTAGTGCAAAAGATAATGCACAAATAGTTGGGCAAGTTCTTTATTATGAAGTTTTGCGTGATGTTATAATGCTTGACTATAATACGTTTTATGTTCCAATATTCAAGTGTGATTGGGTAAATATTGTAAACGGAATAAAAAAAGAAAATGGATTCACTTTGGTTAACCTTAACGAGGGACACCGACAATTTGAAAATGATCCGTTCATTTTGGCAACATAGGCGAAACAAGTATTTTATTCTAGGGAAAATGAAACATCTATTTAGTATGTGGATTTGCAAGCGCTACAAAGAGACTTTGATGCATCAAATTTGGAAGAAGATACAGTCTATGAGGTAACAATTCCACTAGATATATCACAGCCAATTACAGACAACCATGATGAAGATGACAATTATGCAAGAATAGATGTTGAAGGCGTACTGTGATACGTAAAGTAGTTTGGTAACTCCCTTTTTTGTAGACAACATACTTTTTACATAATGATCAATTTTTCTAGAATATTTTGACATTTGATTTATCTATCCATTCATATTGCGATGAAATGTTGAATAACATCTATTTGTCTTGATGTTGTGGGTTTTTATTCTAGCTCTAGAGAATCGTTTCAATCCGAAATACATTTTGTACGATGGACAATGCTCGGGTAATTGTATTTTCTTATAATACATAAGATATATGCTAAGTTTTGAAAATAATTACACTTAACTTATGTTTCCATGTTGTATTCTCAAAGCCAACTAAACGAACTTCGAAGAGTTCTAAAAGAAGAAGAGCTTCAATTGCTAATGCAATTCGGGAGACCAGTAAGCGACTAAACAATTCTAATGAACAAGACAATATTATAACTAGTCCAACTAATGATGAGTAAACCATGTTGCCAACAACTGCAAATGCTCCGAAAAAGAAAAGAGGCCCAACACAAGTAAAAATGATTCCTGAACATAATTATCAGAAGATAAATCTAGAATTCAATGAATATAGCCAAGTTGTTGGGCAGAACTCGAAAAAATATTCTAGCATAGTTGGGGCCATGGTACGAGAACATGTGTCTTTTGTAATTAAAGATTGGACTTCAGCGAATGAAAAGACTAAAATGGAGCTCTAGACTTTCATACAGGTTCATATTTATTCCAATACTTATAATTGCGTTTAGTTTTTATGACTCAATTGGCGTTTGATTTGCAGACTTTACTTGTACGTCATAATTTGGATGTGATGCATATGGAGAAGATATTCTAGCATAGTTGGGGCCATGGTACGAGAACATGTGTCTTTTGTAATTAAAGATTGGACTTCAGCGAATGAAAAGACTAAAATGGAGCTCTAGACTTTCATACAGGTAACATTTCGTAACTACCTTTTAAGATTATTACGTTGTATTTATTTCTTTCTTAATGATATCATTTTCTAAAGTCTTAAATTCATGCTTGTACACAAATACAGCAAAGGTTCAATATCAATAATTGTCATCAAAGAATGACATTTCAATGTATGGGAAAGTACTGGAGGACATTCAAATCAAGATTGAGAAAACAAATTAGAACTCAAGTTGAATCATATGTGAATAGAGCACGCACTATTGCCCTTCTAAAATAAATTATATCTACCAGATGCACCTCACACCTTATCAAAAGCAGAAAAGCAAATTTTTTGCACAAAGCTTGCTAACTTGAGATTACCCGATGGTTATGGATCTAATGCAACAATTATTATTAGTTGTGTTGAAAGGGCTCTACCTAAAGGACCAAGGAATTCCATTTTTAAATTGAGTTCATTTTTCAAGGAAATATGTCAAGGAATTGTAGATAGAAAAAAATTTGGGTTAAATTTGTTGAGGATACTCTTTCTGCTGATTTTCATGTAAGTATATTTGCATGTAAAGCTTGACCCTTATTTTAATTATTGTTGTTTTATACTTCGTTCTTTTTTCAATGGGAGAAAAGTTCCAGGTTCAGCAACATGCGAACTAATCAGAAGCTTTTCCATACTATGGGTAGAAAGGATTATTCACGTGTAGCTTATGAAATGGTACTTCTTATGAACATATCATGTCTTTTTACTTGAATTGTCCAATTTCAATGGACCAGTACAATATTGTTGGATGTACCCATTTGACAGATATATGAAAGTGTTGAAAGGGTATGTTATGAATCGTACACAGCCTAAAGGGTGCATAGCTAAACGATATATTGATGAAGAAAATGTGAAGTTTTGTAGCAAATACGTAACACAAGTATCTAAAATAAGTTCTAAGCTTGTACGCAATGAAGAATACAAGACTAATTTTCTAGTTGCAAGGCGTACAATTTCTAAATGGAAGGCAATTATACTATCCAATGAGATGTTGAAAGTTGCTGATCGCTACGTGTTACAGAATAGTACAGAAGTTTAATCATACATAGAGTACGTTTATTAAATATCGAGTTCAATAATTTTAAATAGTTAACCATATTTTTTGATATATTGTATTCACCTTAGGATGCATATGGATGAATTAAAGAGTTTTAACAAACGACTGGAAAGAAATGAGACTCTATTGAATAAGAAGCACATTGATGCTTTTGCTGCCTGGTTGGATGATAAGGTTGGAATACACATCATCGAATAAATGTCTCAAAGTTGTGCTATATATTCTTTTATTTCTAACATTTTTAACATAATAGCATATTCAAATTCAGCTATTGACAGACAAAGTTTCGAACAATTTGAAGTGGCTTGCACATGATCCTAGATATCAATCCATGTCATATTCTAGTTTTGTTATAAATGGTCTTCGATTTCACACTAAAGATGCAGAAACATCTCGCCAAAATAGTGGTGTTTTAGTTGAAGCAATGACCATATGTAGATCTAGTGCAAAAGATAATGCACAAATAGTTGGGCAAGTTCTTTATTATGAAGTTTTGCGTGATGTTATAATGCTTGACTATAATACGTTTTATGTTCCAATATTCAAGTGTGATTGGGTAAATATTGTAAACGGAATAAAAAAAGAAAATGGATTCACTTTGGTTAACCTTAACGAGGGACACCGACAATTTGAAAATGATCCGTTCATTTTGGCAACATAGGCGAAACAAGTATTTTATTCTAGGGAAAATGAAACATCTATTTAGTATGTGGATTTGCAAGCGCTACAAAGAGACTTTGATGCATCAAATTTGGAAGAAGATACAGTCTATGAGGTAACTATTCCACTAGATATATCACAGCCAATTACAGACAACCATGATGAAGATGACAATTATGCAAGAATAGATGTTGAAGGCGTACTGTGATACGTAAAGTAGTTTGGTAACTCCATTTTCTGTAGACAACATACTTTTTACATAATGATCAATTTTTCTAGAATATTTTGACATTTGATTTATCTATCCATTCATATTGCGATGAAATGTTGAATAACATCTATTTGTCTTGATGTTGTGGGTTTTTATTCTAGCTCTAGAGAATCATTTCAATCCGAAATACATTTTGTACAATGGACAATGCTCGGGTAATTGTATTTTCTTATAATACATAAGATATATGCTAAGTTTTGAAAATAATTACACTTAACTTATGTTTCCATGTTGTATTCTCAAAGCCAACTAAACGAACTTCGAAGAGTTCTAAAAGAAGAAGAGCTTCACTTGCTAATGCAATTCGAGAGACCAGTAAGCGACTAAACAATTCTAATGAACAAGACAATATTATAACTAGTCCAACTAATGATGAGTAAACCATGTTGCCAACAACTGCAAATGCTCCGAAAAAGAAAAGAGGCCCAACACAAGTAAAAATGATTCCTGAACATAATTATCAGAAGATAAATCTAGAATTCAATGAATATAGCCAAGTTGTTGGGCAGAACTCGAAAAAAAATTCTAGCATAGTTGGGGCCATGGTACGAGAACATGTGCCTTTTGTAATTAAAGATTGGACTTCAGCGAATGAAAAGACTAAAATGGAGCTCTAGACTTTCATACAGGTAACATTTCGTAACTACCTTTTAAGATTATTACGTTGTATTTATTTATTTCTTAATGATATCATTTTCTAAAGTCTTAAATTCATACTTGTACACAAATACAGCAAAGGTTCAATATCAATAATTGTCATCAAAGAATGACATTTCAATGTATGGGAAAGTACTGGAGGACATTCAAATCAAGATTGAGAAAACAAATTAGAACTCAAGTTGAATCATATGTGAATAGAGCACGCACTATTGCCCTTCTTAGACCAAAGAATGTCAACTCTAAAGAAGTGTGGGTTAAATTTGTTGAGGATACTCTTTCTGCTGATTTTCATGTAAGTATATTTGCATGTAAAGCTTGACCCTTATTTTAATTATTGTTGTTTTATACTTCGTTCTTTTTTCAATAGGAGAAAAGTTCCAGGTTCAGCAACATGCGAACTAATCAGAAGCTTTTCCATACTATGGGTGGAAAGGATTATTCACGTGTAGCTTATGAAATGGTACTTCTTATGAACATATCATGTCTTTTTACTTGAATTGTCCAATTTCAATATATGTTATTACTACATTTGTACTGCAGAAAAAAAATCCACATTTAAAAGGGTTAAGAACAAAAGTATGGAAATATGGACATCTCAGAAAAGATGGAAAACCAATTAATGAAGCAGTTGCCGAAACTTTGATATCACTTGCTAGTATTTGATTTGAGTTCCATAAGTATAGAAAAGGATTGAAGATTGTGCCACATCAATTTTCAATACGCCTGCCGAAGATTCCATCCGTGATGATGCTATCGCTCGAGTTTTAGGTTCTGAACGTCATGGGGGAGTTAGGGGACTCGAATTTGGAGTTGTTTCATTAAAAGTGGATGGAGAAATACAAAGTAGTGGGAGAGTTAGAGAACTTGAAAGCCAATTACAGATTCAAGCACAAAGGGGAGGGGCATTAGAAGAAAAAATGGAAGCATTTATCAGGTTTTCTCAGCAGGTTATAAGTTACTTTTTATACATTTTATGATTGTATAGCTTTATATAGCCAATTACATGAATAATAACTTTTGTAATTTTTGTATCATTATACAGAATGTGGAGGATAGGAATTCAAATGCTTTTACTCAGGTTTCTGTTTCTTATATTATTAAATGTTTATTGAATATATATTCAGTTTGTAGTATTCTAATTTTAAAGAGAATACTTTCTGTTTATTATGAAATTTTAGTCACACCAAGGAAGTGATGTCCAAGGAAGTACTATCTCCAAGACAAATGCAAGATGTCAACTGTAGCATTGGTACATGTTTGAGGAGGAAGAAGTTATAGCAGAAGGGAAGATTGTCACAACAGACCCAAGTGCAAAGGTGCATCACTTGCCACTCGGTCGAGACTATTTGATTTATTGTTCAACAGACATCGAATCTTGAAAATGTCTCTAAAAGAAAAGGTCATCAATGCATTTAAACTGTCTGATTCACAAATCAGACCTTGTCATACG